AACCTACCTAGATTTCATCTAAATGGATCTTAATGGTCTAGCTGGCTAAAGAGGGGATGGCACGGAACATATTTATTGATAAAACCAACGCTAAAAACTAAAATTAGCTTAAACCTAAAATAGCATAAAACCATGTGACAAAAGAAGAAAGAACCAATTAAAAAAATCTTCTATTCCAACAATCTGTATTTCTTATGCCTGCACCTATTTAAGATTTCAAATCTTTGATTTAGTAAATTTTAGGTTTTATCAAAGGTAGCAATTGGTAACATTTCCTCTATACATAATAAACAATATTTATATTTGTGACATTTTTTAAAATTATTTTCCATCTTAAAATGAAGTCTATTCCTTCTTCTTTTTTAATATTCCATATATATGTAGACAGGATAGTGCTTTGTTTGTACTTTTCATGTTTAAAGCTACTTATATGGTTATAGTAACGCTTTCTTAAATTACCTTGGGTGGATCCTATGTAAAATTTAATATTCTTATTACTAATATTAGGTTTGTTTCTATGTATTTCAACCTTGTATACTACACATTCCTATTGGTATTTGCCCTTTAGTGGGCAGGCATCCTTTACATTTGGTGGGTGGGGTAGAGTGTGGTTTGTTTATATTTTTTCCTGTTATATTCATTGTTATCCATATTAGGCATTCAAATATAGCTTTATTTAATATAATTTCTATTGAAAAATTTGCTCATTACATTGAACGGGGGGGAGGAATTCTTTTTTTAATAATTTAAAAAAAATATTTGACCTATTTTAATTATGACGGCTAAATTATATGGAGGAATGAACTATAATATATTTCTATCCCTATTTTCCTTTTACCTTGCGTGTCGAGGGAATTATAAGTATCTATATACGTCAATTTAGTTTTAGGTCCACAATTTTCCAAGGCCCTTTCATAATCTTGTTCATTTTGATAAGCAATATTGGTATTGGATGAATTAGTAGATAATCTAAAACTAATTCCGTTATAACGGGGTTGTAGATTGTTTTTCTTAAATGGACAATTTGTGCCATTATGTAAGTCAAGTGTAATGTCTTAATAATCTGTTAGTTTTAGGTTTGGTTGTATCTCTAATTTAAATCCATATTTATTCATGCAATTTTTTACCGATTGAAACAGGGTAGACGGGGCACTTGGCTGCCGTCGATAGCTGTTCTAGCACGAAGTCACAAGTCAATTATAGTTGCAGTATAAACCACAGCTCTTTGGGTGTTGAACAAACACAAATGTGCCTGAGCGGGCGTCAGCGATAGGGAGTGGCTAGCCCTAGTAGATGGGCCAGCTACTATTATTATTATTATTATTATTATTATTATTATTATTTCCTTTGATTTCTGGTGTGTACACATTTTTCTGAGTCCCGGCGAGAGACTGAAAAAAAAAAATTAAATACATAAATCCCTTCGTAAAGTGTGGTCTATACTTGTGAGAAAAAATGTTTTTTTTGTATCTCTTTGAGGTATGGACTTCCAGGAATCCCTTCAATTAGTCTTCTGGAATCTTTTCCAACCAATCCGAGGGCTCCAACTACAACGGGGATTGTTGATGTTCCCATGTGCCACATTTTTGAGATTTCAATTATTATTATTATTATTATTATTATTATTATTATCATATAATAATTGTATTGTATATATGTATGTATGTGTATGCATGTATATATATATATATATATATATACACACACACACACACACACACACATATATATATATATATATATATATGTGTGTGTGTGTGTGTGTGTGTGTGTGTGTGTGTGTGTGTATTTAGGAGCATTTTCATTAATGCATATTTCGTTAAATAATATTGGCAAATATTGTCAATTTATTTTAAGTCAATTCCTTTCATATTGTCGAATAAGCTTTTTAGTATTATCACTGAAACACGAAAGAAAATCACCATGTTGATACATGTTTTTATTGTTATTTCTAAGCTTTCGGATTACATAATCCATCATCAGAGATTGCAAGTACATTACAATAAATTATATAATAAATTAAAAAACAAATGTGGTAATTTTACTTAAAATAAATAGACAAATCTTGACTATATTATCTAATGAAACATGCATTAATATATATATATATATATAAGATATTTTTATGTTGATACATACTTTTTATAGATACAAATATTTAAGTAAATCTCTGTTTATAATAAACATTATTAACAACATTTACCAACCTGAATATCCGAGAAATTGTCATAAAAGTAAGTGTCCAACAACAGGAATCGAACCTATATCCTATATAGAACCGTCATATAGCCTGACTTGCTTTTACCGATTTCGCCACAGAGGAACGTTTCGGTTGGCAAGTCGATTATACTGTTTTTAAACTCCAATTTTCCATGATTTTCTCACGCACATTCATATCTACGCGATGCGTATCCAAATGTAAACAAATGTCGTAACACATTATGAAATGGACAAAGTCCGACAATTATTTGAAGACATTTTTTTATGTTTATACATTCTTTTTTACATATAAATATGAAAATGTCTTAAAATAATAGTCGGACTTTGTCCATTTCATAATGTGTGACGTCATGACAATTTCTCGGACATTCAGGCCGGTAAATGTTGTTAATACTGTTTATTATGAAACAGAGCATTTACTCAAATATGTGTATCAATTAAAAGGAATGTATAAACATAAAAAAGTCTTAAAATAATTATTGTCCGACTTTTTCCATTTCATAATATATATATATATATATATATATATATATATATATATATATATATATATATATATAAGGACTCCGGATCTCAGATAGCACTTCCAAAAAATGAAACGAAAAAATGAAATGAAAATTGATGTGTAGAGTAAATTTTGTAATTTAACAGAGAGTGTAATAGGAGTAGTTAGAGGGACATGGTAGAGTTTAGGGAGGGTTTAATTTAATATCTCTCTCAATCATAGTTAATATTGGGGGAGGAGGTGTGACCAGACCATGACCTATTTAAACAGTTAACTTAACGGAAGTGATATATTGAAATGGGGTGGGGAGAGAAGAGAGAAAAGAAAAAGGAAAAAGAAAGAAGGGGGTAGTAACGAGAAAGAGGCTGTAAATGGGTTTTACATATAGAGGAGATGGTTGGTAAGTTTTAGCAATTTACGTAAAAAATAGATTTTAATGTTTGATAGTAAATTAGATGTCAAAAAAACCCGAAGAAATTAATTTGATGCTTGCTAGCAATTTAAATATTTAACTTTTTTGCAAATAATTTAGGGATTTAATATAACTTAAATACTGTATTCATTAACACATTCATAGAGTACATATTAAAAAAAAAGTTTTAATAGTTTGTTTACCCGACCAATAGTACTCTTTTAATATTGTAATAGACAGTTATGGTAACATCTTTATCAGTTTGAATCTAATTTATGAATGTAATTTGTAATTATTTTTAGATGAGTAATCTTTCTTACTTAAAGTTTACTCCATCTTAATTCGAAACCTAAACTTTCGTTTCATTTTGGAAGTGCTATCTGATGATCCGGAGTCCTTTTTAAAGGGCTCTGGTGAAATAAATTATTATGATGGAACCTTAAAGTTGTCTGTTTTTCTTTTTTAAATATATATATATAATATATATATATATATATATATATATATATATATATATATATATATATATATATATATATATATATATGTATGTATGTATGTATACGATACTGGTTTCAACAGGGATGAACTACTGAAGATCGTAGAAAACAGAGAAAGATGGAAGAAACTTGTTAATATAGTCAGAGTTTGCTTGAAATAAATGATGAATGAGAAAAGATCTGAAACAAGAAAATAAAAATAAAATACTCACAGGTAATGATAATGAAATACTCTAGGTGTTTCAACTGAAGATATTTATAAAAACCGGACAGAAGTAATCATATGAAGACTGTGTATCATATCCTGACTGATTTTACCGCACGCATTTCAATCAGAAAACGAAACGTCTGTCAAGCCAATCGCCCACCGACGAAATACCGCCATATTGAAATTCCTGACAGGGAAATGTGTACGAGCCAGGTGGACATTTTTCATTATATACAGCCAATTATTTAAAGTGCTGCGAAACATACCCAATAGTAGAATACTCTATATCTATTACCCTTTAACAAGAATTACTGCAGTGACATCAAAAAGATGTACTGAAGTCTTTAAGAACGTTCTGCTCAGGTATCATTTTACTTATAAAATACTTCATTCACAGAACTAACAATGAGACTGTAACTGGCAATCTAGAATATTATTGCCATTATTTTAATTATTATCAAGATTTATTCGATTAGACACCATTTTCCTGTAAAAGATGTTTCAGTTAAAAGATATTTCAATTTAAAAGATATTTAAAAGATCATTAAATGATGATAAAAAAGCCATTAAAAGATCATTAAAAGATCTTTTACATTTCATGTAAAAGATCTTTCATTTTAAAAGTTATTTTGAAATATCATTAAATGATCATTAAAATACCATTAAAATATCGTTAAAAGATCGTTCACATTTTCATGTAAAAGATCTTTCATTATAAAAAAAAAAAAAGAAATGTAGCTTTTATTGTTTCTGCTATATGCCAGAGATTTTTATCAGAAATATCGCTTTTACCTGTGTTTGATTTAATGCGTTACAATTTCCTCTGATATTCTCATAAATTCTACCTGTTATTATTATTAGTAGTAGTAGTATTAGTAGTATTATCGTTCTTCTGCTTAAAAATTGTTTTCCGAAGATTTCTCTTGAGTCATTTTCATTATTACATAGATTTTCCGGACAAGTGGCAACATCGTTGTATAGCTTTGAACAACTCACATTATTATTTATCATTTAATTTTAAATCGTTTTATCATGATTGGAGTTTTTAACAAAGTTTGCTTGTTTTTTAATGTTTTTCTAATCAAAACATTAATTCAGACAGTTCTGTTTTTAGCCTAGTATGTTTTAACAGGTTCTAGTTCAAAAGCTAGCTAG